AGATTGCTACCTCCTTCCCCAAACTGGAACTCTGTTAACAGAAAGAGAAAGAAATAGAAATAGGCTGAGCAACCAGCACTGCCTGGTTCAATTAGCACTGGGCCTGAGAGTGGATAATCATCACCAAACTTCTCCCCATGCCATCACCCCAGGAACCATATTATATGGTCTCTGTATTAGCCTGCTTTCTCTGGCTCTAACAAATTACCCAAGAATGGGTACTTTATTAAGAGATGAGGTTTATTTAGCTCCGAGTCCAACATATGGCAGTCCCTGTGACTAACCTTTGATGAGTGCTCACAAAATGGTGAATGGCATCATGGTGAGAGGACATGCAAGGGGTCGAGACTTCATCGCCAAAAACTGGGGAGGATGAATCTTGTTCTTTTTAGAACAAGCCTCTCTCACAGGAACTAATGGGGGCCCATGAGAATTTCTTTACTCCCTTCAAAGGGCCTCATCCCCAGTGGTACAATTACTTCCCTCTAGGCCACACCTCTTGCAGGTGCTACCATCTCAACACTGCCACACCCAGGACCAAGCCTCCAGCCTATGAACCTTTGAGGGACAAACCACATCCCATCCTCAGCAGTCCAACAAAGCCACCATTGTAAGAGCAGGATGTCCCAGTCCATAGGTGTGTATGTGAGGGCAGGGGAGGCTTGCTCTCAGAGGGCACTGGAAGCAGCCAGAGCCCCCATTCCGGAACATCTCTGATGTCACACTTGTAGACATGGTACTCTGGGTTCCAAGGCAGGAGAAGGAGCGGTTGGCTCTCATTTGTTTGAGAGCAGGCTCAGCATGAATATCTCAAATGCTTTCTGGTCCCCACCCACACCCCCAGCCAGATCCTGGCTTTTCTCGAGCCTTTGGGCTTGATTGACTATGGCACCACGGGTCTCTCTAAGCCTAGGGTTCTTCACGTTTCCATGAGTCTCCATGCCAGCTGTCAGGTTTCTCACCAAGAGACAGATGGGAAATAGACAGTGAGAGTGCAGAGGCAGGGAAGTGGAGGGAGGCCAGGAGGGAAGGAGGATATTTAGTGTGAAGCATAGATATGTGGGGAGCCTATCAGGGAACTATGGGAGGCTGGTAATACTGGTGACATTTGGTGGAGGGAATGGGGTCTGTCTCTAGCCTGGATATTCAGATCTGCCCTTAAGGAGTGTGAGTCTGACTTCAGGTGAGCAGGGCCTCAAGGAGGCTCCGGGTTGCCCCAGACTAGAACTGAGTCTGGCCCTGATTTCAGATGCGGAGCACTGGCTCAAGATGGAAAGTGGGGCTTTCCCTTGGCCATGGGGCTTCTCTGCTTCCTTACTATGTGCAGCCTCATTTCTATGAATGCTTCAGACCCAGGCATCTTACACAGAGGTAAGGCCTCAGAACCGTGGGAGAGGGAGGTGGCACCCCAAAGGCTGGTGCCTACAGGGGTCATTTCTAAAGGGCTGAGCCCCCCTTGTGGCCTCAGGATCCCTTCTGACCCTGTCATTACTTGGGCCCTGGCACTTCATTTCCCAAGCCACTGAATTGTGAAAAAACAGAATCCTGGAGGTTTCCCAGTTGCTTTAGAAGAGAGGACTGGGCAGACTGGCATGAGAGGTCAACAGGCTCTTCCAAAACCACGCACTTCACTCTTCCTCCTTCCCATTTCACACATGACTCCAAGCACTGATCACTATTCCAAAGGGGGGAGCACCATGTAGATCTCTTGTGGCTGGAAAGTCCTTCTCTCTGACTGCCCACTCATCTGAGTGGTCAGTTTGCTCAGCAGGGACTGGGATTCCCCTGCCCACCTCCTCTCCATCTTCTTGTTGCCCAGTGATACTATGGGTTGCCCTGAGCAGCAGAGTGATACAAGGGCCTCCTTCACTGCCCAAACCTCTTTCCCTGCCAGGCGCCTTCGAGCAGGACCCTGAGGCTCCCTACATGGCACCAGTGAATGGCAGGTTGTACCACATGCCATGGTGTCCCACCTGTTATTTTCACCGCCTGCCCCGAACCTTCCACTGCAAAAGCTGTGACATCTGTGTGGAGGTGAGTGCTCCTCCTCCCTGTCCACTCACCAACCTATCTCCGGGCACCTGGTCAGGACCAGGAACCTCACATCATGAGTGGGCCAGGTGGGGGTATCAGACCATGTTCCCAGAGTGCTTCAAGTGGCTCTCAGCCACTGTTGGTCACTTATATATGTCATCACCTGTGTGTCTGTACCTGTCCAGGGAAGCTGGCCTTGTTTGCCCAGGTGTTGATATGCTTGGGCATCACAATTGTGCTGAGCCTTGTAGAGCCAGGGGGAGGAAAAGCAGTGACTGTCCCCTCCCCTGGGTTGTTGATAGTAGATCCCCAGTCCTTTAGGCTGACTGCTGCCATGTCCTGGGGATCTTTGCTGGTCTTGTTCTGGGTGTCCCAGTTGGAGGGTTTCCTGGATTCTGAGTGCCTTTCTCTGATGTGCACACCCTGCTCGGTTTCACAAGTGCAGATGGCTGGTTGGGCAAGGGTGTTTTTTCATCCTTATCCAGTGTCTGAGAAAATAGAGGCCCAGAGATGTTCTATCCTGCTCCAAGTGATACCAGGCAGGTCTTGAGAGATAAGACCTCACTCAGGACAGGTGAACTGATGAGCTATGGGGTAACTGTGCTCTAACCATGGAAATGCCAGGTTCTCCCTGAGATTGGAACCTGTGTGTAGGGCCAAGAGCAGGCGGCCTAGAGAGCTGAATTGGGGGATGTCTCAGGATTCGGGGGTGATGGAGGCCAATCCAGACAGATCCTCAGTCCTGCCTCCTCTCCCCTAGGAGTTCGACCAGCATTGCAGGTGGGTGAATAACTGTGTGGGGCACCGAAACATCCGGTTCTACCTGCTACTCCTCCTGTGCCTGTGCCTCCACCTGGGTGCCGTGCTGACCACCTGCGTGGTTTTCATCATGCAGAGGAGGCACATGGCATTCCTGGACTATACCATGACGTAGCCACACAGTCCCAAGGGCCCACCCTGAGAAGAGCTGGTGTGGTGGGGAGGGAGGGGCAAACAGCCAAGTAGGGACAGAGGAGACCAAGGGCAGGGCTAGAGGGAGAAGTCACTTGGGAGGACTTGTGAAGGAGATGTGGAAGGCCAGTGGGATCAGTGACATGGGCCGGGTAGGATGCCTGTGGAGTTAAGAATCTAGGGGGGCCACAGAATAGGGTAATAAAAGTTGAAAAGGGACATGTGGGTGGACAGTGTGGTGGAGTGAGGTTTCACTTGGGTGTACTGGACTAACTGTCCAGTCCAGGGAGGGAGAGTGTGTGGGTGATGCTACCTGGGGTGGGAGGGAGTGAGGGAGGAGTTGGGTAGAAAAGCGGGGCCAGAGAGGAGCTATTCCATGGCTTCACTTCTTAGCCTGTGCACAGCATCCTAGTGGCTGTACCTGCTGGGGCCCTCCTGCTACCCCTCATCCTGCAGTTGTTCTTCAATGGAGTGGTCGTGGGCGTAGCCAGGCGACCCTAAGAGGACCAGGTAAGTGGTCTGAGTGCCTGTGTCCTCGACTGTGTGGAGGTGTCTTGTACCTCTGCAATTAGGCACTTTGTGTGGTTTTTCCACTGTCCTTGGCCCTGATGTAGCTTCATGAGTCCTTCGAGACCCACCTCTGAAGATGCAACTCAGATATCTCTATACCCTGGAGCGTCGGTGGCCATTCTCCTTCTGGGTACATTGCATTGAAAGCCTACTGTGTGCTGGGTGGAAGTTACTTGAGGGACGGGTTTAGAGATGAGTAAGTATGTCATGCACTTGTGTTGATCAACAACCTGCAATCAGAATAACACTGGTGCTGTATAGAGGTGGATAGAGGTGCTGCTGGGCCACTTGCCATTATAACAGAATATTTGCTACCTAAAGCTCATGAAGTTGGATTGAAACTCCACCTGGTCTGGAAGGAGGAGGGGTTGAGGGTGATGGATGAACTCAGGGGAAAGAGAAAGTAGAATAAGGGAGAGGAGAAGACAGTGTCTAGGGAAGGACATGACCTTTGAGGTTGACCTTTCCTGCTTTGTGTACTGAAGGTCTTCAGCTCAGATTTTTCTGGCAAATTTGATTTTTGACTAGGAAAATATGTCTGTGCATCCCCTGCTGCTACTAGTTGCCCAGATAGTTAAATTCAATGAAGTAGATTTTTAGAAAAAATCGAGAGATAAAAGAGTAAAGTGGGAGCAGGGTGGTGACACCATCTTTCGATCAGTTGAGCAGAACACCCTAGAAAGATCTTAAAAGGTACCTGGAAGGATTAGGTGAGAGGAAAGGTGTGGCCAATGGAGACAGAGCAAAGATCCTGCAAAGGGAAGCACAAGGGGATGAGGAGCCCTGAGAAGGCAGGAGAGGTGGGTGCTGGGTCAGCACTGTCTAGGGAGAGCTGCTCACAAGTGGGTCGAGGGAGGTCACTCTTCCTTGGAGCCTGGGAAGGCAGGAGGCCCTGGTCACTCTTGGAGCCTTGCCATGTTGAGCCCTGTCTTAACTGACCAATTTAGCGAGGGTCACTGGGAGATGGCCTTGCCCAGTCCTGCTGATTCTGAGCTCCTCTTCCCTTTCTCATTTCCCTCCAGCATGATAACCCATATGATGTGGGCCACAGAAGAAACTGTTTCATCATTCTCTGCGCACCCTTGGGATCCAAGTGGTTGGTAAACCAAAGGCTCAAGTGATGGACCCTGGGGCTGGTGGTGTGGGATGACGCTGGGTCTATTTTCCTGGTCCCTGTCCCCAGCTCCCAGGCCTTAACACTTCCTGTTCCTTTGCTTTGGGATTTTCTCTAGGGCATTCTGGGAGTTTCTGGGAAATTTATTCTTTCTTGGTGTTTTAGATTCTTGCCCCAAGAAATGTGGTAGAGGGGAATTGCAGCCTGGATAAGGCTCCTGGATGAGAGACCTGGGCTCTGTGCTTTCCCAGCTGAGGGGTGAGAGTGGTCAGGGACACCAGGCCAAGGTGGGCAGTGACTCCTTGCATTTGGCCTGTTGCTTCCCAGGTACATGTCAGAGGCTGTGTGCCTTCAGGTGGAGCAGGGCACCACCTGGGGGCCAACATAACATCTTAAAGACCTCCTTGGGCCCAGGTGTGCAACTCAGGCCCTCCCAAGGTGTGGCAAGTCTGCACCCTTACAGAAGGTAAGGAGTATCATCGGTTGACTTTGAAACATGGGAGTTTGTGTTTGCACATGTGTTGGGGGAAGCCCCGGATGTCGGGCTGGCTGTGAAGCTGAAGCCCTTGGAGCCTAAGGAATAGGAAAATGGTATTCCAAATTTCAATGTAAACTACTAGCAAACTTCAACTCCTTTGTATGGCAACTATCTTATTTCTGTTTTCAAACTCTTCCACCCCAGCCTGAGTTAAAGGTCTGGAGCGCTTTTTTCCCAATCACAAGTGTGATTACCAATATTGTAGATTCTTACAATGTTCTGATGAGACACGGTCTGACATGTATCTTGCATTCATTGCAAGAGCACCACCAAAGGTGATCCTGCATGATGTTGGAGTCAGTCTTGGCCATCTCCCCAGTTCCCAGTTTGGTGATGATCTCAGACTATCACCTATACAACAATTTTTTTTTTGTGGGGGATGTACTAGGGTTTTAACCAGGAGATGATTTATCACTGAGATTTGTCCCCAGTCTTATTTATTTTTTATTGAGTCCGGGTCTCATTAAGTTGCTGAGGACCTGACTAAGTTGCTGAGCCTGGCCTCCAAATTATAATCTTCCTGTCTCAGCCTCCAGAGTTGTTGGAATTATAGACATGTGCCACCATGCCCAGCTATACTCTATTTCTTTCACCAGAAACACTTTGTTCTGAACCATAAACCCTACTACTCTGTTTATATCCTTTAAGGCTTTCCCTGGGGATCCAGTTTCCTCTAGAAAATGTTTCCAGATGGGCAAAGGGTCCTCCCTTCCCTCCTGCTTCCCTGTGTGTGAGTCCAGGTGTGGGCCTCAGGAGGAGCATTCTGGGTCATTCTGGCTGTCTGCAGCTCTCATCTATACGCTGTTTGTCTTCTCTTCCACAAAAAGCCCAACATACTTTCAACAATCTCCTGACTTACTCTGGGAGTGTTTATTTATATGGCTGATTTATTATATGTAAGATTATGTGGGTTTTAAATTTTGAATGTGTGACTGTTAGTCCACAGGTTATTGGGGTGGGGTCCTATGTATTTTTGCAGGTACAACTCTGACATGGGAACTTAAGTGAGTAGTACCTGAAAGGAAGATAAACTTGTGTGGGCATTTGAGCATACAATATATACAGTATTCCATATATTGGCTGCTTCTGCTCAGGATTGATATTTGGAGTGGATGGAGCAAAAGAGCAGATGAGATCAGTTCTCTATTCAACAATGAATTACCTGAGTATTGATTAATGCTGGTGGTTTTATAACAAGTTGTAGATATAAATTATAAATTAGTACTCTTTGTGGTTCGATGGGCAAATAATGTTTTATACTTTGAGGCAATAAACTCTACACTTTGCACTGAAACTAAATAATACTGAGTGCTGAGCCATGCCCCTGTGTGGGATCTACAATAAAAATGGAAGGATTGAAAAAACATGATGCGGTGCTCTAAGAAAGCAATCACGCCAGGTACCTGGCACATGTCTACAATCCCAGAGGCTCTGGAGGCTGAGGCAGGAGGATCTCAAGTTCAACAACAACCTTAGCAATTTAGTGAGGCCCTAAACAACTCAGTGAAACCCTATCTCTAAATAAAATATAAAAATGAGCTGGGGATGTGGCTCAGTGGTTAAGCACCTCTGGGTTCAATCCTCAGTACCAAAAAAAAAAAAAAAAAAAGGATGCAAAATAGATTTTAAGTTTTAATTTTGCTTTCTAATAAAGCAAATTTTTCTGGGGTAGGAAGAAACATGTCTCTAACTGTACAGCCCCATATAAGTTCATTAAGATAAATTTCTCTTAAGACACACTCTCTGATAGATAGGCTATGCTTTATGCTATGCTTTTCTCTCCTCCTCCTCTTCCTGTTCTCTTTCTCTGAACTCCCCTCATGCCTGACAGCAGCAGCAAGTGCCAGTCCAGGTCCTCTTCCTGGGGTCCTCCAACTTTCTCCCTGGGGAAAATTTTTTAGGGTGGCTTTTATTGAGTGGAGTTATTTAAATATATTAAGGTGGAGGGTTAGGAAAAGGATACATTATGAAGAAAATGAGGACAGGTGCTAACAAAATGAGGTGGGGGTGAAGCATAAATGAATGCAAAGTTCAGACAGAGAAGGAAATTCTTTGACTTTAAGGATCTGGGCTCTTGACACTGCCCCACCCACTTTTCTGCCCTCCCATCCTGATGGGAACTACAGGAGGAGCTGTGCCAGGAAGGCCAGTGAGCACCTTGGGGACTGATGGGAGCACTTCTCTGCTCTGAACTGCCACAGGGTCTGGAACCTGATGGAGGTGACATGGTTAACCAGGTATCTTGGTGTTTCCATTTCTTCTGTAAAACAGGGAGATCATTTCTCCCTCATAGTTTGTTGGGAGGCTTGAAGAGTTACCAGGGATGTGAAGCACTTGGAACAGTGCCTGGCGTGTAGTACACATGGGAAGGAACGTGCCAAAGGAGACCTGTGTTTCCTAAGGGGCCAAGAAAAACACTGACAAGACAAGAATGGCATTCAGAATAACAAGCAGACCCATCAGCAAGACAACTGTGTCTCAAGAGCGCTGACTCAGGAGTGATGGAGAAAAGCAAGAGTCTGAACTTTCTGAGACCTGTTTTATATGTCAGCTTTTTTATTGGTTTGAAATTCTGCACAAACTAGGTCCTGAGAATTTAAAATGGGTTTTAACATAACTCCTTTAAAATACATTGACACTCTATAATCCTTTTTTTTTAAAAAAAACTAAATATTTGGGCTTATGTTTGTCTATTTGTTCATTTGGCTGTTTCCTGCCTTTATTCCTTCATACCAATGACCAGAATTGTGCACTCCTGCTTACCTCTGACCAAACACATAAACTAGTTTATGTAGCTGGGGATCTTGTCACCGAATTGACAGAGTAGGTCTTAAGTTGCCAACAGAGAGATGGCAACATAACCCAAGTTTTCCCTTTGCCCAGCATTCACACAAAATTGCAATTTAGTCTTTGGGCTAACTTTGATCAAGAATTAATTCTCTGTAGTTTTAGTGTGTGTGTGTGTGTGTGTGTGTGTGTGTGTGTGTGAAAAATCTCTCATCTTTGCCTATGACATCAGCCTGTCATGGCTAGTCACAGTCATCAAACGCCCAAAGACAGCTATTGAGTAAAATTTTATCTTCTCTAGAGGAGCCAAGCAAATTGGAAGACTTCAAATTTGAATTAATAAATGGTATAACAACTGGATACAGAACTTTTCCACACTTAAAATGTGGTTTATAAATTTGATCTTCAGGTTGGTTGCTCCCTTCTTAGGCAGATAGGATAAGTAATTACTACTAAATAGTAGTTATTCACACTTCCCAGTATCAATGGATTTACTGAGAAAAATTCATGGAGTTGAAATTACAAGTTTTCCAGTCAACTCTGAGTGATTTGTGACAGCAGTTTGGCTTCTGGACTGGTTTTAACAGGAACAAATTGCTTTAGTCAGGAATATATCACCACAAGAAGGTAGTTAAAAATAGAATGTAGAAACTGATACAACATAAATAATTTACAGATAATTTAATCTTTCTTTGCTTGGCCATTCCTGGACAAGAACCAAGAATCATCCTACTTTGGGATTTAAAAAGCAAAAGTAAAAGGCATAGTGACCGATTTTTACTGTAGCTTCTTAGAGGAACTTTATCAGTTATGTTCAAAACTTAAACTCATCAGTTTTATGGGGTATTTTGAATCTTGGACTGATTATTTAGTTAGAACAGTAGTCCTGTTTCCTAATACAGATGAGACTGTGTATTCAGACTAGAATAAGAGACGTAAATTTGAGTGCATTTACATAGAGGAGCTAGAGATACATTTAAATAAGCACGTTTCATTACACTTCCCTAAAAAGGAGAAATCTGGAGTCACATTGGATGATTAAATGACATAGGTGTTTTTTTTTGATAGTCATATAATATCCCCCAATTTTAATCCACTAGTCATGCTTTTGGATTATATCACCTACTTATCTGGAATTTGGGGATTTACTTTTGTTTTGCCAAGTATCAAGTTAAGGATAGAACTGTGGATCCCTCTACTGGTGTTTTCTTCAAATTACAGGTCTCCACTAATTAATTGTTCATGGAATCCACTTAGTGAGTTGCCACCAGAATTGGGGGGCGGGGGAGGGATACTGGAAACTATATAGGATAAATAGTAAGGGTAAATATTGTTTGGTAAAACTGTTTCAGATGTAGCTATGAATGCACAATCAAGATCATCTACTAGTTAGAAGCACTCAGGAAGTACTCAGGTAGAGCTACAGTCATCAGGATGGAGAGAGGGTTGTGTACATGCAGAATTGGACCCTGCCTTATTTGAAATGCTGATAATTTTTACTATTAACTTCAATTAAAAATACTGTATTTAAAGAATACATTGAGAATTATGTTCTTTCATGCTTTTTTTGAAAAAGACTTTTTTAAAACTTTTTTTTTAGTTGTCAATGGATCTTTATTTTATTCATTTGTACGTTGTGCTAAGGATCAAACCCAATGCCTCACACGTGGTAGGCAAGCACTCTACCACTGAGCTACAAGTGCTTTGCTTGCCTCCTCCAGTCCTGTATCCAAAGAGCATGTTTTGCAGAAAGAATGAGGGTACAGAGAATGCACGGGAGCACACATGGGGATGAGGAGGAGATGAGTGTCTCATGTCTTCTCCCTTATCTAGGAAGCAGGAGGTGGACTGATTGGAGCCAGGGGCCAGGCCTGGGCAGAGGAGAGTTAATGTGGCTACTGAAGAGGCTGGGAGAGAAAGAAAGAACCACCTTCTTGGTTTCAATGAAAATTCTAATAAAATTGAAGAAAACCAAAGATTGTTGTTATTTTACCTAAACATAAGCATCTTCACTCTTGCGTGCATGTATTTGGCAGACAGTACATGTAATTTAGGCAAACTCTGTTCTGTCTATAAACTTCTTTATAAAGAAAATGAAAAGATCTTACCTGCTAACAATCCTGCCTACCATGTACATAACACTGCTGGAAAGGGTATGTTTTGCTTGCTGTGATATTGAAATTTTCCATAATGAAAGCTTTGTTCATTTTTCAGTTTTCTCACAATGTGCAGAAATATTGAATTAAAATTTTGACTTTACAGAAATGTGCATCTCCTTAGATGTGCATCTGTAAGAGGGCCATCATTGTTTCTGGTCAAATATCAAGAGGAACAACAAACACCTGGGCTCCCCAAACAAACCTGTAGGTACTAGGTGAATGGGCACTGCTCGGGGGTTGGAAATTTCAAACATCTGAAGGCAAAAATGTTTGCTCTTCCAACTACTCCATGCTCAAACACTTTCTGAGAAGATATTTAGCTTGATGTCATCACATTAAACTGGTTTGGGAAGAGCAGAGGTATAAGCCAAAGCAAATTCTATATTTGGCTGTCTTTAGTTTTACCACTACATGAAAGGAAAGAAGGGTGACCTAAAGGTTGAAGGGAGTTTTGAAAAATAATATTGGAAAAGAAAACAGGAAGCATATAAAATATATTATTGGGTCATGAGGGACAGAAAGAAGCACGTTATTTTTAATGAACACAGGTAACTCTTCAACTGGTCCAATTGTATTTATGTTCTCTTTTTCTTTTCTTTTATTATTTTTTTTTTAGTTTTTATTTTTTTTATTTTTATTTTTTTAATTTTTTATTGTTGGTTGTTCAAAACATTACATAGTTCTTGATATATCATATTTCACACTTTGATTCAAGTGGGTTATGAACTCCCATTTTTACCCCATATACAGATTGCAGAATCACATCAGTTACACATCCATTGATTCACATATTGCCATACTAGTGTCTGTTGTGTTCTGCTGCCTTTCCTATCCTCTACTATCCTCCCTCCCCTCCCCTCTTCTCTCTCTACCCCCTCTACTGTCATTCATTTCTCCCCCTTGTATTATTTTCCCTTTCCCCTCACTTCCTCTTGTATGTACTTTTATATAACCCTGAGGGTCTCCTACCATTTCCATGCAATTTCCCTTCTCTCTCCCTTTCCCTCCCACCTCTCATCCCTGTTTAATGTTAATCTTCTTCTCATGCTCTTTGTCCCTACTCTGTTCTTAGTTACTCTCCTTATATCAAAGAAGACATTTGGCATTTGTTTTTTAGGGATTGGCTAGCTTCACTTAGCATAATCTGCTCCAGTGCCATCCATTTCCCTGCAAATTCTATGATTTTGTCATTTTTTAATGCAGAGTAATACTCCATTGGTATAAATGCCACATATTTTTTTATCCATTCGTCTATTGAAGGGCATCTAGGTTGGTTCCACAGTCTTGCTATTGTGAATTGTGCTGCTATGAACATCGATGTAGCAGTGTCCCTGTAGCATGCTCTTTTTAGGTCTTTAGGGAATAGACCGAGAAGGGGAATAGCTGGGTCAAATGGTGGCTCCATTCCCAGCTTTCCAAGAAATCTCCATACTGCTTTCCAAATTGGCTGCACCAATTTGCAGTCCCACCAGCAATGTACAAGTGTACCCTTTTCCCCACATCCTCACCAGCACTTGTTGTTGTTTGACTTCATAATGGCTGCCAATCTTACTGGAGTGAGATGGTATCTTAGGGTGGTTTTGATTTGCATTTCTCTGACTGCTAGAGATGGTGAGCATTTTTTCATGTACTTGTTGATTGACTGTATGTCCTCCTCTGAGAAGTGTCTGTTCAGGTCCTTGGCCCATTTGTTGATTGGGTCGTTTGTTATTATCTAATTTTTTGAGTTCTTTGTATACTCTGGATATTAGGGCTCTATCTGAAGTGTGAGGAGTAAAGATTTGTTCCCAGGATGCAGGCTCCCTATTTACCTCTCTTATTGTTTCTTTTGCTGAGAAAAAACTTTTTAGTTTGAGTAAGTCCCATTTGTTGATTCTAGTTATTAACTTTTGTGCTATGGGTGTCCTATTGAGGAATTTGGAGCCCGACCCCACAGTATGTAGATTGGAGCCAACTTTTTCTTCTATCAGACGGCGTGTCTCTGATTTGATATCAAGCTCCTTGATCCATTTTGAATTCACTTTTGTGCATGGCGAGAGAAAGGGATTCAGTTTCATTTTGTTGCATATGGATTTCCAGTTTTCCCAGCACCATTTGTTGAAGATGCTATCCTTCCTCCATTGCATGCTTTTAGCCCCTTTATCAAATATAAGATAGTTGTAGTTTTGTGGATTGGTTTCTGTGTCCTCTATTCTGTACCATTGGTCCACCCACCTGTTTTAGTACCAGTACCATGCTGTTTTTGTTACTATTGCTCTGTAGTATAGTTTGAAGTCTGGTATCGCTATACTGCCTGATTGACACTTCCTGCTTAGCATTGTTTTTGCTATTCTGGGTCTTTTATTTTTCCATATGAATTTCATGATTGCTTTCTCTATTTCTACAAGAAATGCCATTGGGATTTTGATTGGCATTGCATTAAACCTATAGAGAACTTTTGGTAATATCGCCATTTTGATGATGTTAGTTCTGCCTATCCATGAACAGGGTATATTTTTCCATCTTCTAAGATCTTCTTCTATTTCTCTCTTTAGGGTTCTGTAGTTTTCATTGTATAAGTCTTTCACCTCTTTTGTTAGGTTGATTCCCAAGTATTTTATTTTTTTTGAAGATATTGTGAATGGAGTGGTTGTCCTCATTTCCATTTCAGAGGATTTGTCGCTGATATATAGGAATGCCTTTGACTTATGCGCATTGATTTTATATCCTGCCACTTTCCTGAATTCATTTATTAGCTCTAATAGTTTCTTTGTAGACCCTTTTGGGTCTGCTAGGTATAGAATCATGTCACCTGCAAATAGTGATAATTTAAGTTCTTCTTTTCCTATTTTTATGCCTTTAATTTCTTTTGTCTGTCTAATTGCTCTGGCCAGTGTTTCGAGAACTATGTTGAACAGAAGTGGTGAGAGAGGGCATCCCTGTCTTGTTCCAGATTTTAGAGGGAATGCCTTCAATTTTTCTCCATTCAGAATGATGCTAGCCTGAGGCTTAGCGTAGATTGCTTTTACAATATTGAGGTATGTTCCTGTTATCCCTAGTTTTTCTAGTGTTTTGAACAGAATGGGATGCTGTACTTTGTCGAATGCTTTTTCTGCATCTATGGAGATGATCATTTGGTTCTTATTTTTAAGTCTATTGATGTGGTGAATAACATTTATTGATTTCCATATATTGAACCAGCCTTGCATCCCAGGGATGAATCCTACTTGATCATGGTGCACAATTTTTTTGTTATGTTTTTGTATCTGATTCGCCAGAATTTTATTGAGGATTTTTGCATCTAGGTTCATTAGAGATATTGGTCTGTAGTTTTCTTTCTTTGAAGTGTCTTTGTCTGGTTTAGGAATCAGGGTGATGTTGGCCTCGTAGAATGAATTTGGAAGTTCTCCCTCTTTTTCTATTTCCTGAAGTAGCTTGAAAAGTATTGGTATTAGTTCCTCTTTAAAGGTTTTGTAAAACTCTGCTGTATACCCATCCGGTCCTGGGCTTTTCTTAGTTGGTAGTCTTTTGATGGTTTCTTCTATTTCCTCAATTGATATTGGTCTGTTTAGGTTGTCTATATCCTCCTGACTCAATCTGGGCAGATCATATGACTTAAGTAATTTATCTATGCCTTCACTATCTTCTAATTTATTGGAGTATAAGGATTCAAAATAATTTTTGATTATCTTCTGTATTTCTGAAGTGTCTGTTGTGATATTGCCTTTTTCATCCCATATGCTAGTAATTTGAGTTCTCTCTCTTCTTCTCTTCGTTAGCATGGCTAAGGGTCTGTCGATTTTGTTTATTTTTTCAAAGAACCAACTTTTAGTTTTGTCAATTTTTTCAATTGTTTCTTTTGTTTCGATTTCATTAATTTCAGCTCTGATTTTAATTATTTCTTGCCTTCTACTTCTTTTGCTGTTGTTTTGCTCTTCTTTTTCTAGGATTTTGAGATGAAGTATGAGATCATTTATTTGTTGGTTTTTTCTTTTTTTAAGGAATGCACTCCAAGCAATGAATTTTCCTCTTAGAACTGCTTTCAATGTGTCCCATAGATTCCGATATGTTGTGTCTGTGTTTTCATTTATCTCTAAGAATTTTTTAATTTCCTCCTTGATGTCTTCTATAACCCATTGATCATTCAGTAACCTATTGTTCATTCTCCAAGTGATGTATGCTTTTTCCTTCCTTCTTTTATTGTTGATTTTCAGTTTCATTCCATTATGATCAGATAAGATGCATGGTATTATCTCTACTCCTTTATATTGTCTAAGAGTTGCCCTGTGACATAATATATGATCTATTTTTGAGAAGGATCCATGTGCTGCTGAGAAAATAGTGTAACTGCTTGATGTTGGGTGGTATATTCTATATATGTCGATTAAGTCTAGGTTATTAATTGTGTTATTGAGTTCTATAGTTTCCTTATTCAACTTTTGCTTGGAAGATCTGTCCAGTGGCGAGAGAGGTGTGTTGAAGTCTCCCATGATTATTGTATGGTGGTCTATTAGACTCTTGAACTTGAGAAGAGTTTGATGAACATAGCTGCACCATTGTTTGGGGCATATATATTTATGATTGTTATGTCTTGTTGGTGTATGGTTCCCTTAAGCAGTATGTAGTGTCCCTCTTTATCCCTTTTGATTAACTTTGGCTTGAAATCTATTTTATTTGATATGAGTATGGACACACCTGCTTGTTTCCGAAGTCCATATGAGTGATATGATTTTTCCCAACCTTTCACCTTCAGCCTATGTATGTCTTTTCCTATCAAATGTGTCTCCTGTAGGCAGCATATTGTTGGGTCTTGTTTTGTGATCCTTTCTACTAGCCTGTGTCTCTTAATTGGT